TCCTCTCCAGGGGGCATGGTCTGTGCCGACGCGGGCGTTGAAGTCACCAACGACAATCAACTTATCCGCCGTCAGCACAGTCGCCAGGAGTGCGTGTAGGTCATCGCAGAATTTGTTCCTGCAGAGTCAGGGCTGGTCAACGGGGAGGGGGGAGGCGTAGATGCTGATAGTTGTGACGAATTTGCCTCCCCGGAGAGGCAGGCAGAGGCTCGTCAGGCGATCATTGATGCCCTGCGGCAGCGGGCAGTCGTCTTACGATATCGTTTCGGATGGCAACAGTGACGCCTGAGGCTTGTCGCTCTGCCTTGGGGCTACCACTCCAGAAGAAGATGTAGCCAGGACCATCCTCCTCCAGTTGGCCTTGTTTGGAGAGGTGGGTCTCGCTGAGTGCAGCGATGTTCACTTTGTAGCACGCCAGTTCCTGAGCCACTATCGTCGCTCTCCGGTCCGATCGGTTGTTTCTCGTATCGCCTAAAATGCGACGAATATTGGAGGCGATGGAGGCGGCGGGGGAGAGGGGGGGGCGAGAGAGTGTGTTGTTTCTTGTTTGGTTGTTTCGAACGCGTGTTTTGCCTCTGAGACCACGGCCAGCCTGCAGACGCCGTGATGCCCCAACAATCGTTGTGGGCATCTTTTCTAGCCCCTTTTCCCTCTCATGGGTGAGCAGTGATCTCTCTAAATAGGTCTACTCAGTTGTGTCAGGTGGCTGCCGAACGCTACTATGGGTCACGACTTTTGTGTTTGGTGGGAGAACGATCTGAGTTAGCCAGGGCCGCCTACATGATCGCTGTCGCTCACGCCGTAGGTTTTGAAGGTGTAATGGGAAGGGTAGAGAGACGGGATAAGTCCGTTTAAGTCAGTTTATTAAGGGAATGTGGCTTTCGCCCATGAGCTCCCTATTCATTTCGATAAACAGACATAAAGTCATCAATTACATCAGCAATTGCGGAAATTCACAAAGTTTGCGGTAAGTGTGCGCCAGGCGCAAACTGCCGCCGCTAAAACAATCGCGATTAGATGTACAGTTGTTTCTCAACAAATGAGCATCTAGTCTAAACTTAAAGGATTCGACAGTTTCGGAAAGAACCACCGCATCAGGGAGTCCGCCCCATGCCCCAATGACCCTGTGGAAGAAGGCGTTCTGTCGGACGTCCGAATGTGCCAGCTTCCTCTGCAGTTTGAAGGGATGACCACGCAGACGGTCGGTCCCGGCCAATTCTAAGAATTCATCAAAGTCTATGGCACACTCACGGCCTCTGACAATTCTGTAGGTTTGAATGAGTTGGCCGCGCAGTTGCCTGTAATTTGGTGGAAGCAGATTTAGTTCGGTCAGCCTGGTTTCGTAAGGTAGATGATGAAGATGCTTGACCATCTTCGTAGCCATTGCCTGCACTCTTTCCAGTCGTTGATAATCTTTCTTCAACCACGGTCGCCAGGCCTGGACTGCATACCGGACGCATGCCCCATAGGTTTTCCCGAAGAGCTCTTTATTGATCTACATAAATCCTCGCCTCAACGCAAACAACACCCTTATCGCAGTTTTAGCCGCCTTTTGACACTGTGATGATGGTTTCAGCGAGGAAGTCATTAGGACGCTCAGGTCTTTCTGTTCCACAACATTTGAAAGGGGCTGACGACCAAGGACGTATTGAAAGGAATCGTCCTCCTTACTGGTCCGTCTTGTGCGGAGTCTCTGGACCACACATTTGTCCACATTAAAATTAAGAAGCCAACGAGCTGACCAACTGTTCGGGCGGTTGAGACTGTCTTGAAGCGCGTACCTGTCTGCGTCAGATCTGATGGGTCTCCACAGCTTAACATAGTCAGCAAACATGATGGCGCTGCATCCCAGGTCGTCGACGCAGTCGTTAATGTAAATCAGGAATAGCAACGACCCTAAGACCACTTAGAACGGGGGTAGGAGTTGACCTTGGGACCTCGACGCACACGGTTTGTGATCTGCCGGTAAGAAAATCTGTTATCCATGCCGGCAGCCTTCCTCTTATCCCAATTTCAGAAAGTTTGTAGATTAGGCGTCTGTGTGGGACGCTGTCGAACGCCTTCTTGAAGTCCGTGTAAATGATATCGACCCTACCATCCTCGTCAAGTGCGCGAGTCCGATGCTCCGTCGAGAGCAATCAACTGGAAAGGCACGAGCGATTCTGTCTGAAGCCGTGCCGCAGGTCTGAGAGTAAGTGGCCCTGCTCCAGGAACTTCATTGTTGCTTTCTTAACTATGGCCTCCATTATTTTACAGCAGATGAACGTTAGACTAACAGGCCGGTAATTGATAGCATTAGTGAGAGCCCCGCCCATGTATATCGGAAAGATATTTGCTGTCTTCCATTCCGATGACAGCCTCTCTAATTCGAATGATGAGCGGAAGATGTGTGCCAGTGGTTTGGAGAGTTCATTCGACAACTCTTTCAAGAATTTGGCCGGTATATTGGCCGGACCCGAGGACTTTGCTTCTGTGAGATTGTTCAGCTCCCTTTCCATGACAGCTGTCGGGAACAGTATGGAGTCAAGCACGGGACCAGCAGTCTCAACAGCACTGCTGGCACTACGACTGCGAAACTTTGTTTCTCTGGTAAAATCCGAGGCAAAATACTGTCCTAGGTGTTCGGCTTTCTCGCTGTTCTCAATGATCTCTACACCATTATCATCCTTCAGCACCGCGACCGGGACCTTATTTTTCAGTCTACTGTTAACATAGTGAAATAAAATCTTGGGCTTCTGTTCAGCCTGTCGGATAATTTTGGATTCATACTCCTTCCATGCCTGACGGATACATTTTTTGACTGCATTTCGTTGACGACGAAATTCTTCGAAAGGCGCAGGTGACGCAGTTTCTCTGAATATTTGCCATCTTTTGCTTTTCTTCCCTAGCTGCCTATTTAGGTCCCTAGTTGACCAAGCAGGTCGACTAGTTGTTTTTTTGTGGCTTACGTGGACAACAGCGCCGAATCGGATCGAGTGAAATCGTCTTAAAAGATCTCCAGTCGTCCTCCGGATCTCCCCTGAGTAATTGGTCCCAATTACGAACATCAGTTTGTTCTTTTTCGTGTTAAAATCTGCCTTCCATATATTAGGTTGACCTCCTGTTCTCTTCTGGCGTTGAGAGAAGAGCGAATAATCCCATATTAGTGTAGTATGGTCACTTTTCCCGAGAGGTTTATTGAAATACACTTCGTCGATATTGAAGAAGTCTTTAGTGAAAACGAGGTCTAGACAATTCGCTCTCTGGTTCTTTCGAAATCTTGTTGGTACCTTCGCATGTTGCGCCAAAGGGAGATCGAGTGTGAGTTCCAGTAGCTTATTGCTGAAAGAAGCTGGCCTACCGTTAACTGCCATAGTTTCCCACTCTATTGCAGGTGCGTTGAAAGCCCCAGCAATATGTTCCTCTTGGTGGCTAGCTACGTCTTTGATTAAACCAAGGAGCGACTCAAAAACTACACTCAGAAGGTTTGGTGGTCTATAAATCGCCAGAAATTGTAGATTTTGTGCATTTCTCTTCTTTATCTTTATCCAGACGGATTCATATTCAAGAGAGAGAGAGTGTGTGGGCTCGTTCAACTGCCGAAAGTCCTGCCCTTACATATACGACTACCCCACCGCCCTGTCTATTTTGACAGTCTCTACGAAAGAGCAGGTAACCCGGTTTCGAAATCTCAGCATCCACGATTTCGGCATTAAAGCAAGTTTCCGTTATGCCGATAACGTCGGGGGTTCGTTCTGATACTATCGCTTTGAGTTCGTCGATCTTCGAAACGAGACTTTGAGCATTGGTATACAAAAATCTCAGTTTGGCACGAGAAACTCCGGCATACAGGCGTTTATCCATTTCCAGGGATTGAATACAAAAGCCGGTCGGGTGTGATCGGGATAAACTGCTTTCCATCACTCCTAAGCTGTTAGAGTTATGGGCTTTCTCCAGAGGAATGGCCTCTGGACACGTATAATTTTTCCGTCCACTATTCTGAGATGTGTTTCGCCCAGGCTCGACCGCCTGAGGACCTCCCATTTGAGCCTCCTCCATTTTTCTCGCTCCGCGGGTAAAAAGTCTCGCTGAAAAAAAACCGATGGATGGGGATGTTGGGGCGCAGATTTTCTGCTCAAATGTAGCTGCGCTTGTTCGTCATTCTCAAAGACAATTTTGAGCGGTTTCGGTCGGTCTAGTTCTTGTTTTGAATATTTTATTTGGCCCATCCTGAAAGGCTTTAATACGGTGACTTTTTCGTCTCCTACTAAGATCGATTTGAGATATTCCTGGAATATTTCTATGTCATGCTGTATTCTGTCCTTTGGAGTGTCGGCGACAGACTCAGGCATTCCCTTTATAACAATGCATTTACTGCGATCAACTAGAGGGCCATGTGGTTTAATCATTCCTTCAGAGCCCTCATCGCGGATATCCCGGCTACCGCCTTCCACCAATTTAGGAAGATTTGATTCGGTAGGACTAACGCATGACTGCCTGTTTACTACGATCTTTTGATCATTTGTCGTTTTCGGCGGCACGATTTTCGTCTGCGGTGTAGCCAACTCTTGTTCCCTTGTCTGACTCTCTGTGCCCTTTCGAGGTACCCTGAGATTTTTTTGTTCGCTGAGATCGCGTCTGACCACGGTTTTCTCGCACAAGACACTGGTTGTCATTCCTATCGAGCTCTAGCGACCTACTATTTTCTTTATCCTCCATCGACACAGCCGAGGAAGCCGTGTTTGCGTATGTTAGCTCACTTTCATTCTTTTTGGATGAATAGCGAGGGAGATTCCTCAGCTTCTCCATCTCCACTTTAAGGCCGTTTATCTCCTTCTCCATTTCCGCAAATTTTTGAAGGAGTCCGAAACATGTCGTACAGGCTTCGTCTCCGTATTTGATATCCATACAGCTTACTAAACTCCTTGCTGGTTTAGCGGGAGGTGACTTGACAGCGATATATACAGAGTTGCAGTTGTTTGTACTACGAATAATGTTTACTCCTTTATTTATTTCAGTGCATTTACCGTGCGCGTTTATCATACGCCAATACTCTAGTCGTGATCTCGTCGGTCACCCCGCGACGGCACCTGAGTCCAAATCCCATTTGCGGCGACTTTTTTCACATTGTCCTGAAGGTGCTTTGTCGGCTCCCACTTTTAATTTCAAGGACGCGCAAGGTATTCTAGGTATGGGACTAAGCATTTAAAGGTGTAGGAGAAGCTTCTTAACCAGGCCAACAATATGAAGCAAATAGCAAACGACTCAGCCGCTCTTGGATCTGGACGACTCAGCCGCTCTTGGATCTTGGACGGATGCAAAGCTTTCCCGTCCCTCTTTAAGTTAACTGGTTGCTAAAATATAAGCGCTGAGCAGACAAATTGAACAGAACGGCATTTAGCTTACAACAAGGACGGACACGAACAAGCAGAGAAAAGGCAAGCAGTCAAGAACAGCTAAAAACAAAGGTAACAGAAGACTTTTAACAGAACGCCATTTAGCTTTCAACAAGAACAACCACAAACTAGCAGACTAACAACAATCCAGCAGATCAATGTTCGCTTAACTGGGAGCTTACTTACCCTGTGGCCTCCTACGGTGTAGTAGACGGAACCTCATCTCCGGGATGCCGTAGCGGTGATCCATCCGGCC